GGCATTCATTTTTGAAATTCTCCTATAATAAAGCTGATTCATAACACAGGCGACCTCAGAAATAACACTGATTGCAGGGTTTGACTATCATTAAATGTCTTATGATCGCATTGCTCTTAATATAATAAAGTCCACCAGCAAGAAAATTCACGAATTTCCTCGATTTTACTTTATATAACCATAATGGCCAAGTGAGAACCAGCAGCATCCGATACGCAGCATGTAGAATCCGTACAAAATGTCTGCTATTATGAATGCAATGTTTTTTTTTTCTTACCTGGTTGGCTACACCACCGGGCATATCTGTGAATTGATCTGTATTGGCGTATTTGATTTTTCTTTCAGGCTTGCATGCTGGCCAATGATGTCTACACTGACGACCTTACAGTGGCATTGGTCACCATCAAATGGTTGCGGTCAACAGTGTTCTAGAAAATTCGAACTTTTACAGCAATGCACACCAAAAATCTGATGTTCTGGTTCTGTTTCTTTGCTATGTTTTTGAAAGAAAAACTTTTTCTTAAAGCCCCATGAACTTGTAATAAAAGTGTGGCCTCGGCAGCAGTTCGCACTTTGAATGTGTGTGTGATAAAACTTGCATCACTCAGAAGGAGTCTGCAGTTCTAAACATAAGCATTTAGTTGCTCCTTTCTCGCTTGCACAATAAATAGAACAATGAAAAACTTACCACGAGAACAGAATATACGAACAGCACAACCTAAATGTACAGTGTAACTACCGAAGCAACGAAACAAAGATAAAAAAGCACTTACTTTCAACTATAATTTAAACGCGGAGTGGTGTACATATATAGCACACCGCTAATAAATCATTGTTGAAAATCAGCGCATTTTTCTATCTTTATTTCTTCACTTTCGTAGTTACATTGTAACTACTTTAAATTTGCGCTGTTCGTATATTCAATGATGTCCTACCAACTTGCCCGTGTTTCCACGCTTCATTACTGTGAGAACTGGTGGATGTCCAAAAACGACTAGTGTAAAATCCACATCAAGATAATAGACAGATATAGTATAACGGGCTTACCGGGATATCGGGTGTACCATGATAGCGGGATGGAAGTGCGCGTGCGCAGATACGTACGTTAGCTGTACCACTTACACTGTAAAAACTGTCCGTCGGAGGCACGCAAAAATCCACGTAAAGCTCAAAGGTACATCTTAGTTCTTTGACAGAAGAATAAAATCCCCGTGGATGCCAACGGACATAATGCTGTTATTGTAGGTACGGAGACAATATCCTTCTTCAGCGGACCTTATGGAAAAGTCAAGAAGTTGGCGGCTCTGACTAGTTACTTTCTAGCCGCCATTCCACTACTAGGCCACTTTTTGGGGGCACGATGTGTTGATAGAGTGCCTGGGTGCGTGTAACTAACATTTGTTTTTTCATAGTTCCTATTTATTCTTTTTACTCTGATATCAATACTCTTGACATGTTTGCGTTATCGGCATCGCCATAACACACCATATAACGTCCAAATCGACAACAGCCCCCCGGAAATCGTGTGTTCTAGCCGTGGGTAAATGAACGCGAGCGAGCACTACAAACGCGGCTGAAGCAAAGGGGAAGCAAGCCGACCCATCTCAGTCACACGAAGGGTGCATCACCTGCATGCGAGGCATGTCGTCAATTTATACTCGGGCAGAGAGGAAACGCCCTGTCTGTCTTGAGGAATGCCGGGGCCACGGGGAACAAGAGGGAACCTGGCATATAACAAAATGGGAAGATAGCCGCCAATTGGAAACTTCAAAAATTATTTTCTTCCATGAAACGAAAATTGTAATGATAAAACTTGGGATATCAAAAGAACTGCTTACTTACTTTCCAGTTGGATATAAATGTTATCTTTAATTAGACCACCACGTGGTGCAAATGGGTCCAATGTGGATAAAGTTGATGATTTTGTGAAATTTGTGTTCTTTTCTCGTAAAGTTTTGTGACTTGAGGGACGCAAAGGTAATTTTTTGCAAAACATACCTTTTATGGAGTATTCATTAATTTCTCAGATATTCATTAAAAGAGCAGTAATACAACAGAAAAACTGCAAACATAACCCCTTTTGGCTGAATTCTTTTAGGGGTTTGAGGCCAAAACATTGCAATAATAACGATTAGCTTAAAACACCTTGCAAAGCCACCATTAGTTCATATTTAAACTAGATTTGGCATTAAAGATTGAGTAACACTTTAAAAAATAAAATTTTTCACGAACAGCCATACGACATTTGGATGAATTCTGCAAGCACTCACGTGACCACAATTTTTCTTCCCTAAATGTTCAAGTGGTTCACTGCTTTAAATGCAGTAAATCAGCAAAATATTTATTCGAATCGATTTGAGGTGGTCGCCAAAATAGCTGGTAGGTTTGGCGTGGAATGGCCCCACTACGAATGGCACTGGCAGCAAGTACTGCTCCCGGCTTAGAGCTAAAGCATCAGCGCTTTTGTGTTAGGAAAGAGAAGATGAAAGGAGAGGTGGAAAAAGGGAAAAGAATGGTCTGAACATCTGCACCTTGTGTGCGCCTCGGAGAATGTGACAGCAAGGGTCATGCGCTGCCGCCGCGTGATGACAATCTACCAAAAATTGTAACCAAATTACTCAAAAATATGTGAACTTTCTTTAGCTAAACATTCGCGCTTTCCTAACAGAACTTCCGTGTTTTCGTCTATTTTTCATAATTTTGTTTCATTATCTTGTTAAATGACAGATGTGGAAATTTCTAAAGACCACTACAACACAGAGTCTCTCATAATAATAGAGGGATGGACGCAAATATTTCTCGTTTTCTTCTTTCTTTTCGAAGATTACACGCCACGCGCATTACCCCCCCTTCCCTTTTTTTTTGGCACGAACACAGAGCAGCCACAATTGTTTGATATAACTGATAACGCAGCACAGCGGCATTGTTGTAAGCGGATTGTTTTGCCAAAGAGAACATATAAACATTGGTGGTTCCATCTCACTAACATCACTGATATGTCGTTGAAACCAGTATCGATGTAATGGTGGGTTCTACACTTTATGAGCTTGCGGGAATTTTTGAATTATTGTCATCCCTCGAAATTGAAAATTCATATGTCCTGTCATCAAGCATTTCAGAATTGTCAGATTGCACGTACAACAACAATTAAAAACCAAGTGCATTGAAATTACCAGAGCTCGTGCACAATCCTTTTTTGTTCTCGGTAAAGAAGTTTATTTTTTGTTTTATTCGCTTCATAATAAAAAAGTGGTCGGAATTGCAGGCAAAAATTGGCCCATACGTGCTCTGCACAACTCAATGCGTGAGTTCATCTCGTCAGTCAAACAGCACGTTTGTATAAGTTCATGGTGTACTTATGCGAAAGTTAACTACGACAGCCTCAGCAATTCTACGAACTGTCTTATTATCAAGTACACAGAGTATTGTACGGCATTGCAGTATGTAGCGAATACAACGAGCTTATACTGCAACCGCAAAGCATGCTTTTAATGCACTCGCAGCGCCATAGCGTCTTGTCGCGTAAGTATTATTTACGTATTTTTAGGATTCAAAATGTTAAATTGAACATACATAGTGATCAGGACACTTTTTTATTGTGTACAGTAATCTGGTATACGCAAAAAAGTGAAAAATACAAGGTTACTGTAACGGCAGTGTCGACATCTTGTGACACTTCGTGCAACCACAGTCATGAACATGTTAGCTTACGCGTAATGTTTTTGAGGTGAAAATGCATAAAAAGGTTACTCATTTGTAATATTGTCGCTGCGCAGTTTTTGTACCAGATGTACAATGAACAATGTTTCTGCAATAACAAAGTTGTGGTTGTCTGTTTCACTATGGCTGCGCTAGATGGCGCAACCTATTTAGCTTGTCGAGACCTGGCATATGCCATTTACTTTCTATGTTCCAGGCCATTCTAGCTTTGGAAATCTGGCTGAAACCGTGTAATCGCTATAAGTGCTCGCACTTTGGCCCATTTTAATTCGACGGCTAGAGTATCCGCAGTGCGGATACTGTGAGTTCTTGCGAAGGTGGACCTTACAAGGCGGCCGATCCATGCTGTCCGAGATTTCGCGCCTTTGTGCCATGCTATTTGTATAGTGGCTAGCCACTATAATATTTGCGCTTAAAACTTAAAAGTCAAAGTGGTGGCTCTGGCCAGCCTTGGCTTCGCTCGCCGTGAAGGTAACATGATGCGTCAGCGTGTGCGCTGGGGCAGCTTATCTCCGCTAGGAGGCCAGTGGTGGCAGCGTTGTTTATGGCCGCGCGGACGCATGGCCCCATCGCCCCAGCGATCTTGCGACGCATCTGTTTGGGGTTTCGCGCATGCGCAATACCACCGCCCCAACGCCCTGGGTACGCAAGCCGCTTGGGTACCCAGCACTAAAACTCCCTAATATTGTTTCAACAAGCCACTTCTCATAGCTTGGGCCCCTTCGGGACACCAGAACACCACCGCGCGTGCCGATCCAGGTGGCCGTGCGTTGGCAGGCCGGCTCGCGATCACATCTCTCGACGTGGCATAGCCTCCTAGATTTCCCTTGCCTGCCGAATTATCGGTGGTCACTTGGGAAGCGGCCGTCATCGGAACTATGGTGGTGGCGCCACTTAAGTAGGGGTGTCTTCGAATAAGTTTTTACTTTTTTGGAGACTATTTGCAACAAAAAGAACGTAAAAAAGCTTTTAAAAGGCATAAACATAATTATAAAACCCTAAGTAAGTGCCTTCGTTATAGATGACAGGCGTTTTGCGCTCATTCAGCAGGCAGCCCCTTCGATACAAGGCATAGCTTCTGAAATTAGCAAACGCCAAAATTGCCGATCTCAAAGGCCGAGTACAAAGACCCTTACTCCTACGTAGGTAGTGCCGCAGTAGATGACGGGCGTTTCGCGCTCATCCGGCTGGCAAGGGTAATCTAGGAGGCTATGGACGTGGTCATATGATGTATGTACGTGGCGCATGCAAGGCCGCGCATTCGTGGCGCTTGCCAGCCAACACGGACGCTTGTCACGGTGGAACGTCGCGGTCGAGGACTCGTTAGAAATGACCATGTTCTACGGTGATTCGCGACACCAAGGCGTGTATTCGTTGTCCTATTCTGATCGGCTAATCTGTGGTTGCGTGAAGTCGGACAATACTCCACCATAATTTTGCGCAAGGTGTCGTTAACTTCACTGCTTCGAGTCACCATTGTGTCGGAGCTTTCCCGCCAAGCTGACCAGCGAAAACGTTTTGTGGATTTTGCTATCAGGTAAGTCCTATCTTACGGCTCTCGTGAATTTTCCCCGCCTTCAGCCTGTTTGACGGCCGACAAAATGCTCAAGCCTTGAATGTTTCCGCTGCTTCAAAGTCCTACAGAGGCTTACTCGAAAGCGGCTTTTTTTTTTTTGCGCGCGCGGCTTCGGCGTATTTGCGAATTCTGTGCTACGATGTCGCGTGCCCTTGACCGTGAAGTTGGTTATCAGAGGTTTAGCGGTGTGGGCTTGATAGCTGCTATCACGTGTCGTGTTACAGTACGCTTTGCGTTATAGCTTATGAAAATGCATCTGCGTCCCGGGTGAGTTGCCGACAAAACTGCGCATCCCATCCTTTTCGCTGCAGTTGCGTTATCAGGCGACACGACCGAAGTTCACTTGGCGTGTTCCGTGAAGATAAACATGCCACTTTGATTAGCAGGAGTGTGACAGCTGGGCTGTATCTGATTGCAATAATGCACTTATGGATATTAGCGTGGCATATTCTGCCGGCAGCGTTTATTTTACTGTTTGCAGGTCTTGTGCCAGCAGTACAAGCTTAAGTTACGTCCAGCCCATTGCCCTTTGGGCCTCGCTATTTTCGCAGTGTTCATTAGTGATTAGTGATTTTCTTAGTGTTAGTGATTTTCTCGTCTCAGTTGGGCGCCAGTGACCTATGCTGTGGCGCATCGAGGCTCTCGCTATTCAGCTATCAGAAAAAATGTATTTAAAAAACAACAAAACGGAAACACCATACGGAAGAGATCGCCGGATTTGAGCAACCCCGAGGGATGCACAGCGCGTTAGCATGGGCGCTTCCCTAGCTCATAGGGCGAAAAGGGACAAAAAAGCTGCCTTCGCTGTAACGGTTCGGCAAGAGTGCCGGCACATAAACTCCGAGCGGTATAATTCACGCTGCCGGGACTATATCTACTTCCGTCAATGTCGGCACCTTGCACTCACAAGTTTTTTGAAGAAAATCAGCTCCCTTGGTTCCTGAAATAAGGGGTTCAAAGTTCATTTAGCGGCTGCCGCCTTAACTGCAGCTCAATAAAAGACTGTGAAGGTCTCTGAGATATGGCGTTGTCATTGCTCTCAATGTTTGCAGTGATATCGCTAGCACTACTTGATATAAGTAGTGTGACTGTTGCTGGTAAACCTATTGTAATGCTATATTTTAAACAATATTTGCTTTTATCTCGATACCCAGCATCAGAGAAAAGGTGACACGCGGAAGAATTCACAATAGAAACCAAGCATGAAAATGAAATATACTTGCATTTTTTTTAAACGCTCAGGTACTTAGCATATTAGTCGCATGCCACTATTAAATGACATCATTTGGTGCTGTCACTTGGAGTTGAAGCCAGCGGTGTTTGTTTGAATGGGTATACTTAAATTTGGCCAGACCACTTTGCTGTCTGTGCAACTTCGGGAAATTTCGGAAGCACCAGCTGGACAGCGAAGCGAGTGCGATACGTTGTCGTTTCACGTTGGCTTGATAGTGTGCAAGTGTTGGTGAAGTTCAGCACTTTGCGTACTTTTTACAGATTGCACAGAATATATACTGTGAAATTCCAGATGAGTGTTTCTGCCTCCTTTGGAGGATTTCAGATATGCGACCGCTTGTCTCCTCTAACCATTTGCACTCTTTTATACTGTTTATGCGCAAAACTAGAACAGTAACGCATGTGTGTGTAGCTTATGAAGAACCATGCTGCACTACCCCTCCCCCTCTCTAACTTCAACGGACAAAACACTGTTGCCATACTTGCTTTGTTTTTGTTTGAATGCCTAAGTTCTTTGCTGCGTACTGCAGGTAGCAAACAGAAGTGCCCAGACGAACTGTGCAGTGCTGAACACACGGTGAGCCAAGCATCCCGTGAGAGGGGCTTATTCAGCATATGTGGCTAACTCAAAGGTAATGTACAAAGTTCCATTTAATGAAGAAGAGTGGTGTTTTGAGCCAGTTATGTCGAAGAGAAAATATTGCAAAATAAGTGAGGGTATCCAGAGTAACATGAGGATGTAGGCTACCTACTAACTTAACATTATTCATGCCAAAGTGTTAATTATGTGCAACCTTTATTTGAAAAAGAAGTGCAACAGCTTCCATGAGTGAGCATAGCTGGAAATTGCTGCACAACCAGTCCCTGTGTTTTTGCAATCAATAATAAGTGGCCCTTATTCTTGTGACCTCCCGCTGAGATAAAATTTATTCCCATAAACAGCAGTAGGAAGGCTCTTGCTAGCTATAATAAGAATTTATTCTTATATTAGTTTTTAGTTTCAATAAATCATGCTGTAGAAGAGTACTCCACCTATTTATCACCTTGGTGAGTGCATTTCGTATGGAAACCTGACTTGGTTTCGCAGTGTTGCCTTTCTGTAGAATGGGGTACTGGCAATTGTAATTTCACGAAAAGTGTAAAACTTTATTGTTCCTTGCAGCAAGCATTGTTATCTTTCTTGTAAATGCATGAATGGTGTGAATAATAGTGACCCAATTCGACATTTACAACCTTATCATTCTAGTGCCTTGGACTGTTTTTACTGTATGCGATTTTTTCGCCAAACATAAACCCAGTTTTTACCATTTTTAAGGTCAATTGCTAATTTTTTTGTGTACGTTTGCAAGCACACTCTCACCTTTGATGCTAAACAACAGGCTTGAGTGTTGTGCCTGATTTTTGTATATCAGTTTTACAGAATATTCAAAATCGGCTCTTCTACTTGGCGCAATTATTGGCTACTGTGTACAAGTTCTGTGCATCTAGATATAAAAATAGAGAATGCAGCTGGTAGCATTGAATACTGTGTTCAGACGCTCGTATACACTGTGAAACCTTGCTGGTGCGAAAATTTGTTTTAGGTGTACTGTGAAGCGACTGGTAGCTAGCAATACTGCGTTGTTACAGCTGATTGCACAATGGAGCAATTTTCAGCTGCTCACGTAGTTCGAGCAGATGTCGATCATGTTCACTGTGGTATGACATAGCCACAAAGTTCATGCATCTGCATCGTGCATACCAGGAACCTTTACGTGAAGCAACGTGATGCTGTGATGGGAAAAGCTAAGTGTGAACTGGGTTTTCATTGTCTGTCAATATCATTACACAGGTTTCCTAAGTGCACTCGAGTAAATTTAGTAGGCACTTGCAGCTACAGAGCCAGTAGTAACAACATATTTCAATAGCAGAATTTCCTATATATTGCAATTTCAAGTAACTTCATTATTTTATGAGACCTTAACGTCACAGCTTGCTCACTCATTTCTTGGTGGTGAGACATTACAAGAGTTATAATTTCTGATATCACGCAAATTTTTTCCATTATTTTTACATTGTATACTGAATTTACGCTTTTCAACTCCTCCTTCTTCCCAAACTAAAGCTTAACTTCTGCTGGATTGTCTCATGGGTGAAAACAAGAAACCAGGCCAGAGAAAGCAATAAGGTGCTCCATTATAACAGAAGAGAGTACTGCTGTGGTTCAGTCTATAGCTGAAATTTTTTAAAGGTACCAATGTGGATTTCATGTGAGTGTTTACAGAGCATAATTGTGTTGTGCTACTTTTGTTATCGCAGGAAGGACCTCCAAAAAGCAGTGCTACAAGGATGTGAGCCACAAGCTCTTTTCAACGAACGGATCAGATTCTTAAAAGTTATGGGCCGACTGCATCTGGCCTACACAGAGAGTGCAGCCACCACAGTAAAGTTCTTGCAAAGGTGTGAGACATTCCTATGTTGCGTAGAGTGAGCTTGTTAATTGTCAGGTTTATAGCTTATAGGTGTAGCACTCTTATAAGTAAACACGCTGCAAAGTGTGTTTTACATTCTCTCAAAGTGCCTTTAGGCAGCTTTGGCTCTGTCATTCTTTTTTATCACCTTCCACACCATCTTGCTAATTCATACATAATGCTGCAGCAATCGCATTGTGTGAGTATCACAAAAGTTTCATTTCGAAAAACAATGATGGTGACCCCTTCATTGCCTGACCAGTGTATACTCTTCGCCAGCGAAGTGATGTGATTTTGCGCTAGCTGTCGATTGGTTCTCTCTGCATTATGAAATGGTGTTTTGGCCCTAAAATTACGCCATATAGATTGTGTCATTGTGAGGCGTGCTGCATATTTGTTTATCCCACCTATGCCTTGCACAGTACTTCCTTACTATGCCGGTTTAGCACAGCGGCACATCAACGAGTTCTTGCTTAGTTGATGGCTGCCTGTTGATTGCACAATCACTGACGTCATGCTTTGTTGCCATGTGACTGTAGTAATGATGGTAACGTATGCGTACCCCTCTTCACGATGAGAACGATAGAGAAGCCGAGTGAGAAACTGAAAACAGCTACAATATGTGTTTTATTGGCTATGGCTTCATCATTTAATCATATGAACACAAAATTTTGGCAACGTGCTCACATTTTACAGTTTTGCAGTCATCAGAAATTTCAGACGGTGGGTTTGTTTAGTAGCTTTTTACATTTCAATTATTAATAGTGAATTTATGCACTGCATGGCTTTGTTTATTTATATTTTGCAATGCTCATCTGTGAAATATTCTGCAGCTTTTGTCAATATTTATGTGTTCATTATATGAAACATTCTGTATGATCTCTATGTACCATCAATAGCAAAAGTTTGCGGGACACGAAATGCTCGATGAAGATAAATTATGACTTTGTCTGAGAATGTAATTTGAAAAGGAATATTTCATACTGCACTTCACATTCCAACCTGTGCAGCCACAAGTCTAATTACAAGCGTTAAGTACCGACGTAGTGGAAATTGGCATTAGTTGTGGATTCAACATATACCAAGCATTTTCTGTCGATAGTACTTTCATGGATTTTTCCTGGCACTAGAGCCACCTACTTTCTCCCCTTTTGCAGCTACATAGCTGGCAGTTCGTTTTTTGCTGCTTTGTTTACCTAATACCTATTCAACCAGTGCATCTAAAACGGTGTTATGGGTGTACTTGCATCATTAAATGTTTACTATTTTATTAGTCCAGGAGCTTTCTTCGGTCTTTTGGCTTTTACTTTTTTGCAACTTAACTGCTGTTTTCAGAGCAGTCTGTAGATATTGGTATAGACTCTGCTAAGCTTTGGTTCAGAAAGAAAAGCTCAACAGTTGCCGAGGTGCATGGCCTGCGCCACAGCATTCTAGGTTACCAGAAGTAGATTCTAGGCCGGATAACATGTGGCTCCTTGCTAGTTGCATGTCTTGCTTTTACTTAGACCTTTATCATAGTCCTAAAATGCATCTTACGTTGCTTACAGCTATGCTGCCATGTGAACAACCCCAATACGAAGTGGATTCGATCTTTAGGGCAGCAGATGCACTTTTGAAGAAGGCGAAAATGCTAGAGCCCAAAGTTACCTTGAATAATTATTCACATTCAGAACCCAATAATTATTGTTACATCAAGTGAACAAAGTGGTAATTCTAGATTGTTTACACATTTCAAATAGGAGAGGTGAGCTGCTTATTGGGTTGGTATTCATGCTAAAAAAGAGGGGCATGCAAACATGGACTCGAGAGAGCAGTCGAGACGCCGCGAACACCAACTAGAAAAGTTTACATTAAGCTAAAAATTAAACAAGGCAAGTGGAGATCAAGACGTCATGCCTGTTGGTCTATGTGAGAGATAACTGGTCAGCATTTGATTTCTTCGTTGAGTTATTCGATAGTTGGTTCACACATGCACTAACACATGTCGCTATGCCAAGCCTCAACCATTAGATGCAGCCATTAGATACAAATGCATTTCTTCATTTCTGTGCTTGTACAAAACTGCATGGATGCAGTCTTTTTCTGGGATATTCTCCAAATGTCTTTGAAAAAGGATGTGCCTCTTGATGCTTAAGACATCATATTTCTACCAGTATCAAATGAACAAGGAATACCTTTCGACTTAGTCATGTTACTGGGTCTGTACGGTATAAGGCAATCTAGAATGGCAGTGCTCCATGCTGATGTTAATGCACGTCCGGTTTGGCAACACTTCTTTCAATCTGTCTGTTCACACGTGAAATCAAAAAAGCTTCAACAAGAGGTGCCCGAATGGCTTCATCAAGTAGAAAGCCTTCTACAGATAAAGAAATTTTGAAAAGCCTGCTAAGTTTGACGCTTTTTACCTGTTTTCTTAGTTTTATGTTCGTCCTTTGTTTGATGTACATTTATTTGTGAATGTGGTATGTACACAGTCATAAAAACGCAGCTGTGGCGTAGTAGGTTAGAGCGGCAGAATAATAACCAGTGAGGTCGGTGGTTCGAGTTCTATTGCGGTCTTTGTTACTTCTTTTTTTTGTTCGTGCATGCATTGTTTGAACATTTGTGCCTCCTGATCGGCCTCCCGTCAGCCTGACTGCTGGTGGTGGTGGCGGTTCTATCCACAGGCCCTTCAATATTGGATGTTTGGTGAGTCTCGCAGAATTGGCTATATTTATTTGATAAAATGTTGGGCGAATAATTGCTCTTAGTAGGCGAGACGCAAAAGGACACGAAAAACATAAATGCAGCTGGCTGCATTGGTTTCTCCGGCACACGTGTCGGGAATGTTGATTTCCACGGTTTGTTAGAGTTTTGATGACAGAGAGGCACACTGCAACGTAGTCTCATGAAACTTTATGTCGCGCAGTGTACCATCACCTGACGAGGTACCCGGCAGGCCGCTTCAAAACACTGACGTGCCATCGCAATGGTCTAGGCAATCAGCAATTGGCAAACGATACCCAAGAGGAAGTGCTGACGGCGTTAGCCCATCTAACTATATAGCAGCTTGTCTACCTTGCTGAATAACCGCACAGCCTGTGACAGCACGGGAGCATTTACGTAGCAATGGATGAGAACGGCCACACTTGTTCGCACTCAACAAAACAGCCGGCAATGCAGTAACTTTGGCCTTCGGAGATCACAGGCTTCGTAAGAACGCTACAATAAAGTTGTTTGCATTATACGTAAGAACACTTCGCAGACGCATTGGGGTTTCATGCATGTGCGTTCGGTCAGTCACACGTGATCTATGAAAGAGCATTTACTTCATCGTCAACTTCGCCCTTCGCGACAAGCGAAACTCGGCAGCAAGGACACTTTCACCTTTGACAACACCGCGCTTGGTATTTCAATCTCGAAAGAACAATAATCCGCACTTCATCTTGAGAAACTTCATGGCGCACACACTCAGATGAAGCTGTGGCGCGGTGGACGGCCGTGCTAGCTCCAATCAACAGGTTCAATTGGGCATCCAGCAATCACATGAACCAGCAACGACACAGGGTCTCCGGTACTCCTCGGGAGCGGCTTAGGCCATGGCCGTGATTTTGTCGCAGTTTTCACCACCAACACACATCGCAGGCACCTACCATCTCGCCACGGAGGAAGAAAAGGTAGGTTTTTCACGCCCAGCCGGCGCGGGGCGCGAAAAAAGTGGCGGAAGTTAAGTCATAGCGGCCATATTGACTGGGCACAATGGCGGCGTTTTGTTATTGTTGATGTAGTGCAGTGCGGCACCGTTCAGGCGGTCCAGTGGCGGTGTGCGCGCTTTTATGGACCTCGCACCTAACCATGGCGTACTGCAGGTGTTCGACACCATCCTTTCTTTGTGCCGCATTGTTAGCTACGCCTTCCGGTGGTGGTTGTAACCAGGTGTTTGAACTAGAAACCACGGAACGAGCACGCGTATACGTACTCCGAATTTGCAGCGTCCGTCAAAAATATGCTGAAAAGCCATCATAAAAGATAACGACTTTGCTCAAGAATTCGTTCAATGAATGCCTTGCAGGTTAGTGACAGGTATGCGGTGTTGCTTTTTATGACAACGGACGATGCATTTGCGGTCCACAGGCCCTTATTAAGACTGTAATCTAATCTCGCTTTTCATGTTCCTGTACAGTTACTACGTGCTTCTGGGCATTAAAGTTCCTGTTCTGCTTCGCTTGACATGCTCGCTGATCACAATATTGTCTGTATTGCAGCAAAACTCGTTAAAATGTTCACACCCACCTGCACAAGGTAACCAAGTGCACCTCAATAGACGCGCGTGCTTGTGCATTCAGAAGCTGACAAAGCCGTTCGAACGATGTTGACCAAAAGATTTGAGAACTCAAATAGAACGAGTTAAACACATTTTAATGACACCTTCGACAATAGCAAGTATGGGTAAAATTGTCAAGTACACAAGGAGCAGTATATGTACAATTCAATGACGCACAGAAATATTTCACCGCAAATATTTGTGGCTACAGCAATAAAAAATCTGTTGCGTTGTTTGTCTTTAAAAATCGGAAAGAAAAGCTTTTGTTTATGAGCATTAGCAGCATGTATTTCAAGTCTTCTTCTGGTAGGGTTTAGGTGTACCATTCAAAAGCAAATGCAAATTCGAGACTAAATTATACAGATGTAAAGAGCGTAGGTCAGCAAAACTTGTGCAGCCCTCTCAAACTGACTTATAAATATATTTTGCGCTAAGGGCTCACTCTAACTCGCACTCGCGAAAATTTTCTTCAACCCACTCGAATTCACCTTAGCCTCATCTGAGTTAGAGTGAGTTGTCTCGTGAGTTCTTTTGCCTAGAATGAGCTTTCTCAACCATGCTGTCGCTGCTCTTTAACATCAATATTTCGCATAATTGGTTCTCTTCCTGGCACCTATTGATAAAGTACCTTCAAATACGAGTTGTGAGTGCTCGCAAACTAGCACGGTAATTTTTCTTGAAAGCGTGGCAACATAAGATATGTTTATCGAGAACTTCTCTAAAAGAATGGGAGAGGCAGTTAGGTGAAGGCATGTCCATCTGTAATTCGCCCCTCTGATCAATAAACAGTGCAATGAAGCATGAACGATGCTGCTTTAGAATACGTTTATTAAACAGTGCAATTGGACATGAACGACACTGCTTTAGAATACCTTTGAGTATACATGAGTATTAGTGTGAATTCAGGTGATGCTGATAGTAATGCTGAAGATTAGTAAATAGCTTGGTAAAAACAGTGAAAATCACTCAAAATATACATCTTGTGCTGTGTACTCGCTCGGACTCCGACTCGCCAAATATTTTTTTCTGAACGTAACTCAACCAGACTTACACACAAAAAAATTTTATATTACTCCACCGACTTACTCAGACCATGGACGACTTACTCAGACCACCTATGATGGTAAGTTGTGTGAGTTCGCCAACCTATAGTAGTAAGAAGGGGGTGTGCAATACGAATACCAATACAATTGCGAGTACACACAAGTGTTAGACTTATGTGTATGCTTGATTCCGAGAGAAACATTGAAGGGCACATAATCATTTCAGTGTAATGAACATAAAGTGTACCAAAAACACAGTTTTGATGCATTTCACCTATTTAAGTATGGGATGATAGTCATTTTATCCAATTATACACTTGTTCATTCATTTACTGAGCACTCAAATGATAGGCAAGCACAGAATGCAGCAGAACAGAGTGGGTGTGTGCAAATTGGCTTGTCAAGTCAAGTCAAGTCAAGTTTATTAAATAGTTCAGTTGAGTTACATGGTTAGCGTTATTACAGCAGGAGGTCCCAAAGTTTCAGAGAAACTGACAGGGGGACCTCCTATGGCTACATGGATGGGGTAATTACAAAAAAAATACAGCAATAGTATACGGTCTTGTGAGTAATAATGAATAATCTTGATTAACAATAAAAACACGATCAATACACAACATAATGGTAATACTCACTATTGAAAAATAACAAGGAAACAATCAAAAGCAAGTTAAGACAAAAAACAATATTATTGAACTCTACGTGACAAATGTAACACGTTTCATTATCAGTGTTATCAATTATACAATGGCAAATTGAAGTACTGAAAAAGCACAGAACTGTGGAGAGCTATTAACAGTTAATTACACAAATCGGATGAGTTGATTAATTCCTGAACGTAATATTTCTTACTACGCGAAGTGAAAATATGGATGTTATGCGATGATTTCAATTCGAAAGGCAATGAATTCCAAATGGCTATGCTAGTAAATAAG